TCTACCAAAGTCATTTTCTGGTAAGATATCTGTACTTTTACTTGAGTATGGCTTTCAGGTACTTTATACACCACTGGGTAAATGTTTAATTGTCCATCTGATTAGCAAAAATTTAAATGTATGACTCTGCAAATGCATTAAAATAATTTTAATAAAAACAACTGCAAACAACAAATGACTTTAACAATGAAAAGTCATATACAGACAGTGATGCATGTGCAACAACATTTATAACAACATATTATAAGTGTTTTAAAAATGTGTTCATGACTATGAAGGTAAGTTACCTGTATTTATTATCAAGAGTACATTTATGATGTCTTTTACGAGATAGCATCAGTAACTAGCTAACGTTAGGAACAGTTACGATTGTGTTTAGTTGTCAGCATTTCAATGTACAATTACTTGTCTGGGTACTCTCCTGGGATTACCAGGCTCGGCATATAAAATTATATGCCATTAAATAACATGAAACTGAACGTTAATGCTGCTATCATTATTTATTATGCTGCTATCATTATTGTTGAAATTATTTTGTTTCTCAGTTTCTATAAAACCATATAATACTGAGAAATTGGGGAGGGGGGCTTAGGTGTGTATGGCAATGTGATACAAATGGGGGGGAAAAAAAAAAAAAAAAAAAAAGATACTTTGTCAAAAAGGTTGCTGACCCCTGAACTACGGCCTTAATTAAAATGTGGACTTAATTAAATGTATCAATCATCAATCAACAGCAACAATGGCTGAATAGATCCTTATCGGATTTCAAACACATCAAACATTATTTACAACATGAGGCTGTGGAAAATCCTAAGCCTATAAGGCATACACAGGAAATGGGGTAAGGCTAGAATCAACAGATGCACACAAGACTTCAATAATCCAGTGGTACATACCGATTGGCTGGTAATCCAAGGAGATGTCTAAAGGCGCTTGTAATACTGCAGACCTTCGATATACCACATGAACTCTTCCCCTCTCCTCGTGTTCCTGTGTTCCTCGCTCCAGAGGCTCAATGAAGTACTCATCAGAATCAGTGCGAATCATACCAGCCTTGAGAGAACAAAAATAAAAATGTCAGAAATGAAGAGGAAGCTGAAGTCTGTCTAACCAAAGACCTGCCTAGAAAAATAACTATGACAGAAAGACAGATTTGACAGTGCAAATGAAATATGTTCATAAACATAGGAGACTGTCATTACAACAGTAACAATAAATCTCACCTCTAAATGCAAGGCCCCTGCCAAAACACATCATATAGTCTTGTTGGAAGGGCAGATGCTCTATATATCACCCAACCCTCATCCCCTCATTTACTATTAACTTTTCACCTAACATACAGTAACTTGTTACAACATATGAACAGGTACAGAACACATGGCTCACCTTCAAACATTCCTTCTACTCAGAGTTAAGAAATACATGATCATACATTTTTCAACCTCATAAAAATTCCATTGAATTTTGCTGATAAAACACAGTCCAGTGTGTGCCTTCACAACCAAATATTTACTGGAAGCCCTGATAACTAATGAAAACACTAGAGAGAGTTAAATGTTTGATGCATTTGTCAGTGAATAATCAGGCATTTGAATCTCTTCTCTGCTTTCTTCTCAGCCTCCTATTAGTTTCAAAATCAAAGGCATCTTTTATTCAAAAATGCTTTTAGGGTACAAAACGCATTATCACACACAGTTGTAAACAAAATTGGGTTTTCCTGCATAACTCAATAAACTAACTAGATTTCCCCTGACCTGACTTTGTATCACATAATTATTTATTGCAAAAAAATATTCGGAAATCAACAAAGTGAGGAAAATTTAGACCGGATATGGAAAATTCAAGTTTTATTATCGTGAAAAAAAATTAATTTCATATAAGGAATACTTTTAGGAATTTTAAAAATTATAATAATAATAATAATAATAATATCAATTTGACTTTTCTCTCATACTGAGAAAAAAAAAAAAAAAGCATTTTCACCATTGGACCCCTCTGTATATTACTGCATACTGTGTGTTTTAATTATTACAGAAAAATATTCAGAAACTAATAAAGTGAATAAAAACAGGGTTAAGACTGTATGTAACGGAAACTGAAAGTTTTAGTATTTTGAAAAAGGAATACTAAAATATTTTTCAAATTCAACTTTTCTCTCAAATTGCTATACTCGGTATAATAAGTAGAACCACATTGTAAAAATTTGCAAAATAGAAGCATTTTCATCATTAGTCTTTATTTACCCCACTATAAAGTATATTATTGCATTTAGTGTGTTTCAGCTTGTGCAACACGTGTGGGAGCATATTGCTAAGTCACTACAAATCATACTGACATCACGCCAAATCATCTTGACATGCAATATGTGATCACACATGTACATGTGCTCACTTCTGTAGTGCGAGTTCATCCATATGCTCAACTGTGTATTCGTCTCTTTGCATGTGAGTGGGTGAGTGTTTGAATGTACAGTACTTCAAGTGTGTGTGCTTGGACCGACCTCTTTACTCTTTTAAAACAGCCTCTCAGTTTTACCTCCAGCCCCAGAGCCGGCCTCCTGGACACAGAACAGCCTCTCAGAGCCCATGCTATGGAATGTGCTGGAAGACTAGCACTCTCCCTTACTCATACAGTGCCTTGCGAAATTAAAAATGAAATAAGTACATTGCATAAGTATTCATACCCTTAACTAGATATTTCACTGAAGCACCTTAACAGCCTCAAGTCTTTTTTTGTTTGATGTGACAAGCTTTGCTCATCAGCATTTGGCAATTATCTGCCATTCTTCACCTCACCTGTTCACCTCTCAAGCTCTGTCAGGTTGGATGGGGGCAGATGCACATTTTCAGGTTTCTCCAGAAATATTTGATTGGGTTCAATCCCAGGCTGTGGCTGGCCACTCAAGGACATTCACAGAGTTGTCTATAAGCCACTCTTGCTGTGTGCTTAGGGTCATTGTCCTGTTGAAAAGTGAACCTTCTGCCCAGTCTGAGGTTCTGAATGCTCTGGACTGGGTTTTAATTAAGGTTATCTCAATATTTTGGTGCATTGAGCTTTTCTTCTACTCTGACGAGTCCCCAGCATGAGGTTGCTACCAGCACACTTTACTTTTGGGATGGTACTCTGCAGGTGATGAGCAGTGCCTGGTTTCCTTCAAACATGATGCATGGAATTGAGGTTCATCAGACCAGAGACTCTTGTTTTTTAGAGTCTGAGAGTAATTTAGGTGTTTTTATGCAAAATCCAAGTGTTTTCATGTGTCTTCACTGAGGAGAAGATTGAGTCTGGCCACTCCGACATAAAGCCCAGATCGGTGGAGTGTTGCAGTGATATTTGTCCTTCTCTAGATTTCTCCCATCTGCATATATGGTCATGGAGCTCAACTAGAGTGACCATCAGCTTTTTGGTCACCACTCTAACTAAGGTTCTTCTTCATCGATTGCTCAGTTTGGCCAGGAGGCCAGTAGGAAGAGTCCTGGTTGTTCCAAACTCCTTCCATTAAGAATAATGGAGGCTACATGCTTCTGTGAACCTTCAGTGCAGAGATTTTTTTTTAACTCTTCCCCAGATCTGTGGCTTGATACGGTCCTGTCTCTGAGCTCTACAGGCAGTTCTTTTGACCTCATGGCTTGGTTTTTGCTCTGTAAAGCATTTTCAGCTGTTAGACCTTTTATTGAGAGGTGTGTGCCTTTCTGAAGAGAGGATTGAGTTTGGCCACACCGCCATAAAGACTGGATTGGTGGAGTGTTGCAGCGATGTTTGTCCTTCTGTAGATTTCTCCTATCTCCACATATGATCATGGAGCTCAACTTGAGTGACCATCAGGTTCTTGGTCACCATGCTAACCAAAGCCCCTCTCCATCAATTGCTCAGTTTGGCCAGGAGGCCAGCTCTAGGAAGAGTCCTGGTTGTTTCAAACTTCTTCCATTAAGGGTAACAGAGACTACATGCTTCTGTGACCCTTCAATGAAGAAGAATTTTTTTCAGAACTCTTCCACAGATGTGTGGCTTGAAGCAAACCTGTTTCTGAGCTCTACAGTTAGTTCTTTTGACCTCAGGGCTTGGTTTTTGCTCTGATATGCTTTATCAGCTGTTAGACCTTTTATTAAGACGTGTGTGCCTTTCCAAATCATACCCATTCAATTGAATTTGCCACAGGTTAACTTCGCTTGAAGTGTAGTAATATCTACAAGCAAAATTAATGCTCCATTTTAGTTTTCTATTTTTAATAAATTTGCAAAGATGTTAAAAACCTGTTTTTTTTCCATGACAATTATGGTGTATGGAGTGTAGATTGTAGTGGAAAAAACTAATTTAAAGCAGTTTAACATAAGGCAGCAACAAAACAAAATGTAAAAAAAAAAAATGAAGGGGTATGAATACATTTGCAAGGCACTGTAACCTGGCAACCCCCTCTCAGTGCCATCCTGTGCACTCAAGAACACACGGTTTACCTTTCTACATGCCTGCTACCTCCATCCATTTCTGATGAACTCTATGCCTCAATAGCCAGTTTTTGCTTATAGGACTTTTTAAAATGCAACCAAAGTATAGGCAGATTCCTAAAGCTGCACAAATGCAACATATAAATTGCTCTGTAACAATAACACTAGATAGTTACGTATTATAAAAACACATAACCACTCTCGTTCAAACTGCCCGAGGCAAGTAAATATACCGTGCACTGCATGTGCTCAAGTACAGAATCAGTATGCACCAAACATACATGTTCCAAACCCATGAATCAGACCCACAGGTCACTGCACCGACCACTTGCTTGACTGTTTGAAAGGGAGTATCTTTGCACTTTAATCACTTAAATTGAAAGTGAATTAATGTCAATTTATTGCAGGAATAATTCCCTTACAACAGTGGAGAATAACAGCATTTTTCTCAACTGCTGTTTAACCATGTAAAATGCTGCTGCCTTTGTGTGCATTCCAATATCGACAAATACACAAATCTAACTCCAAATTAATCTAATCCAATCTAATTGGTTTGTTGTGCACTAACCTTAACTGACAATCAATCCATAAAGCTAAAGTTCACCTAATAGTAATCAAAAATTAAACACCAAAGTTCAATATAAAAAACCCTAAAGAGTGTTTCAGCCAAGGACATCAAAGGTGGTGGAAATTAAAAATGTATATAAAAAAAAAATGTCAAGGCATTTTAGTAGTAACAGATATTTAAGTGTTTCATCTAGTTTCATTTTCATGGACTTTTAGTTTGTTTCTATATAGTTTTGTTTTTCCTTTGTTCTAGCATTGATTCTCTTATTATTGGGAGATACGAGGGTCTGTATTACTTACCATTGGAGAAAACGTAATGGTCAACTTGGATCATGTGTGCCTTGATATCCAATCACAATACAGCCTTAGTGTCACTGAATTTCAGTCAGAGTTGTGCAACACTCAATCACAGGAATGAATGAGAAGTGCCATAAGCTGAATCCCACCTGTCGCAAAACGTCTGTGACTTCTCTTATAAAAAGTTGTTTTATTTTCAGTGTAAACTCTAAAAATAGTTAAATCCAAAACTATTGTTTAATGGCAAACAAGTTGAAGATTAGCCGATAGGCTATTGATTCATTAAATGATAAGCTGTTTCCTCACAAAAGCTGTTATTCAGCGTAGTGAAGCCTCTCCTCCATTAATATCCATTCAAAACAAAAATGGCCTCTGTTCTCCTTTCCCACGTACTGCCACAGAAGAAGCATTAGCATTAGCCATTTCACTTTTTTTTGACTAAAGGTTGCAGGCTTGCCTTCCAGTGGCTTTGGTTCTAGTTCTTACCAATCCTTAGTTGTCATGGTTTCTGAGTTGATTGTGTCATTCTCTTCAGGTATTCGTCATTAACCTTGTTTGCTCTGTGTTTTTAAGTTCCCCTTTTTCAGTTCAGCTTGTCCAGTCTCGTCGTGTTTTGGTTGTGTTTAGTTTGCCTGCCTTGTTTGGATTCTCTTCTTTGTGGATTATTATAGACTTTTGAACCTTCATCATCTTCGTGTGCTTTTAACAACCAAGTTGTGACACTACTATTGGACATTATGTGGT